ACAAGAACTTGCCTAAAAAAGCACTCTTATTATTAGACAATGCAACGTGTCATTCCCCTCAGCTAGTAACCATTAGCGAAAATTTCCATGTTATGTTCTTACCTCCAAATTGTACCGCGCTTTTACAACCGATGGATCAAAATGGAATTCGCATTTTTAAAATGAATTATCGCAAAAGTTTTCTATCCCATATTTTGTCTATAATGGAAAATGATCTCATGGAATGTTTAAAAAAGTTTACTTTAAAAGATGCCGCCTTAATAACAGCTAGCTCATGGGACTCAGTAAAATCCAGCGTATTGCGAAAATGCTGGAATAAACTTCTATACAATGAGGAGTGGGACTCTGAAGATGACTTACCCCTTAGCGTGCTACAAGAAAATTATGCTGAACGCGTTGATGATTTGGTAGGTTTGTTAGTCAATATAGCACCAGATGTTTACGTACAGCGAGAAGTGAATGAGTGGATAGACGACGATGTTGTTGAGGTTAATTATGACAGTGGCGAAGAACATAATGAAATTGCAGAGGAAAGCGAAAGTCTTGAGGTTGAACAGAAAGTAACACATTCAGAAGCAGTATCGTCATTTAATTTATGCATTAAGTATGCAGAAGAAAATAATTTTTCTGCTATGGATATAATTAAACTGCAAAAACAAAGAGAAATCGCAATGGAAAATAAAAACAACGCAGTTAAACAAGTTACACTTGATAGGCTTATTTTGAAACAATAAGTACACTTTTGTTCAAGTTTACCGTTATTGGCATGTTTTAAAAAAAGAAATTTTGAGTTTTTTGTTTGTTTAACGAATTATATGAAAATAAAATTTTAAGAAATGAAATATAAATGAAAACTTGGCTATTTTTATTCATTTTTAAGCAGGGTCTCGGTAATCCGGACGACTCGATAATCCGGTCAATTCCTTGGCACTAATTGTCCGGATTATCGAGCCGCTACTGTACTACAAGCATCCATATGCGCATGCCTGGGAAATGGATTTGCATTTGACTCCAGAACTATTATCTATAAATAATATCTACGAGTATTGCAGTAAAACTCAAAAACAACTTTGAAGTTAACAAGTGCACTGCTTTGTACATTTTTTTTTGTTAATGCGTCCATCTTTAAAGTGAGTTTGTGAAAAAACTAAGGCAGCTAGAAAACTGGGATTGTTGCATTGAAAATAGCGTAGCAACTACAATAAGAATCGTAAAAAAAAAAACAAAAGCCGACGGCAAATCACCAATGAGTTTGCATATTTGCATAGCTTTCACATATTTATTAAATAACAAATCTACGTTTTGGAGTTAAAGCATTCCCTGGCATACATATATCTTCGAAAATTTATTTTCATTAATTTAACCAAGAATTTTCAACTTTTTTTATTAAATCAATGCCGCGAAAAAACACCAAACCAAAGTACTTAACATTGATACAAATTAACAAATTTGTATCTCGGCTCAGCTCTGTTAACTTGCCGCTCAGATCTGTTAACTTGCCACTCTCAATTTTCGATTCGAGTGGTGAACTTCTTTCGTAATTGCTGCTTCTCTGTATTTAACGTTCTCTGGCCAATACAAGAATGAAAGTGAAGGTGAGTACGTAAATAGATTAAGAAATGTATAAAGGCGAAGGTAAAAATAAAAACAAACAAAGATTCGTAAGGATAAATGCAAAAATGAAGATCAAGGTAAGTTTAAACACTTTACTCATATAAGAGCAAAGGTGAAGGGGAATATGTAGATGAAGAAAATGGTAAACAAAAATAAATATTAGAAAAAGATGAGGATGAGGATACCGATAAAAGGAAAGATGAAGATAGAAGAAGAGAGCTTAAAATAAAGGTAGTTATAAAGAAAAGGATGTGTATGTAGATAGACACAGACTCAACCTGGGAACTATTTCGGGATCTTCGGTATTCTCGGGAGCTATCGATATAATAATCGATATTTTTATCGATTTGCTTACTAATATTTTTTATAGATTTTGTTATCAATATTTTTTATCTATTTGGGTATTCTCGGGAGCTATCGATATAATAATCTGACATCACAACACAGAGCATTTTATCACGTCATCGGACCTCACATCATCTATGTGAATATGTAGACGAAGAAAAGGATATAGTTAAAGGTATAACAGATAAAAACAAAGATGAAGACCAAGTTAAATTTAAAAACTTTACTTTTATAAGAACAATAGAGTATAAAGATAAAAATAAAGATAAAGGAGAACAGAATAGCATAAATATAATTAGAACGAAAAGGCTAGAGGTAGGGATCTAGATAGAAAAAAGATAAAATATAACCTTAAGCAAATTGTCGTTTAAAGTACAAAACCGCGTATCAACAAAATGTCTAACCGCTAATCAAGATAATGCAAAACCGCGTATGGGGTAGCTTAAATTATTTTCTAGAGAGTAAAAACACTTAAAACACACACTGCCTGAAACTATACAAAAAAGCAAATAAGCAAATGGATGTATAGA